CATCTACCGTTTGATGCATTTTTACACAAGGAACTATACAGATGGGCCAAAACACCAGAACCCCAACTATATGTGTTTATTTTATCAAATTGTCTTAACAAGGGTAATACATTATATTAACAGTATTACCCATTGTTTCAGGAAATAAAAAATGGCCAAATAATATCATTATGTAACATCGAGCTTTCACAATTTTTTCTTGCTCGGTAGAGTTTTCGGTTATTACGAGACTACTAGGATATTCTCTAAGAAGACGGAGATTAATACCTCTAGACCCTTATTCAAATAAAGAGACTCCCAAAAGTTCCTCGCATATGGCGTTGTCTTGGTTGACTCGGCCATTGACAGCCTTACCATCAATCGGTAGACCAAATAACATGTACACGTCCTCTAGTGTGACTGTACATTCACCATATGGAAGATGAAAGGTGTGAGTTTATGGTCTCTATCTCTCCACTAATACAAGAATAATTTTATACTCAACACGGTAATTGATTATGTTGAGTAACAGACCAAAACCGACATGTCGTAAGTACAGTTCAATTTGAACGTCGTAAGGGACATACTCATGGGCACGACAATGAAATCTTTTAACATCCTATTAAAAACATGAATTACGTATAAGAAATACAAGATTTACGTATAAAAAAATATAAGAATGAAGGGAAAAAAATTTGTTGGCAAAAAATAAGTATTGAGGAAAATAGACTTACAAAGGTTTCAATGTTGTTTGGAGTTCCTCTATGTTGATCACCCATGGTCAAGAGAGACATTTTTTCCTGATTACTCTTATGTTGTTGTTGATACTTCAATAAATAAATAGTGTGTGAGTTATGATTGTGATGAACATATATGGTGAATGTTACATGTATTTATAGGAAAATCTTGAAGAACACTTTGCATGCAAGAGATACACATAGGCGCCACACTAGGTTGCACATGCTCTTCCTTAATACACATAGGCGCCACACTAGGTGGCGCATGCTCTCTATGATGTACATAGGCGCCATTCAATATGACTTGTTGCTTTTTGCATGCATGCAAACCTGCAGCGTGGCAGGAATCAGATGGCATGCATGCAATTTTATTGTACAATGACAGGCCATCCTAGGTGGCACATGCATGCAAAAATAGGAGGATAAGCCACCGTATGTGGCACATGCATGCAGAATATAGAGTACATCCCATATTTTCATCAGTCTATTTAATCGTCTGTGTAGGGTGCATTACTAGTATACATCCATAACTCACAAATAACATACCTCAACAACATGGATCATTCACAAAATTACACTATTGTTGCCCATATTAACAGTGAGACGTTCAACTGTGATATCTTAGGTTTTAATTTTCGTAATACCGATTTTATCCGCTTTCGGATAAATAAAAAATTAAGTTTTGCACGCTTTAAAGATAGACTAGAAGCCAAATTGCAATGTGGTACAGTTTACCAAATTCTTTACAAGTCCCCATTTCTATTTGACAACAATCAAGTCAGATTTTATCAACTTAAGGTGTGCGACGATGATGATGTTCGAAACATGTTTCGAACTCATGAACAATCCGGGTTTGATGAGATTGATCTGTATGTTTTATTACAACAACCAGATCAATCTCAGGTGGTAGATCTTTCTCAAGACTTTGAAGAAGAGGATGAATCTGACGAGGAAAACCATCCCAAAGTCGATGTTATTGACCAAGAAGAAGAAGAAGATGATGAGGCAATGATTGATTTTATGGTCAATGATGACGCTGCAGATCAAGAGCATGAACTTATACCTGCAAGTCATGCGAACGACCCTCCGTTTTCACATGACGAACTTGAACTTGGGGGAAGATGAACCACCCACAGATATCTTTCACAATCCTTATATGCAGACCGAAGGGGCCTTGAAAGTTGGAGACAGATTTCGAACAAAAGAAGAGTGTCTTAGAGTTATCCAAAAATACCACATGGAAATTTTAGCTGACTTCACGGTAGATAAAAATAATTCAGGGAGATACGTTATTTTATGTCATCAAAAACTAATTTACCCTTTTCGGTTAATTGCATCTTATAGGAAGAGAAGTGATTCATGGGAAACAGGTTCCATTGATCCACTCCACACTTGCATCACCACCGTTTAGACACAGGATCATCGGAAATTTAGTTCTCAACTAATATGTCAAGAAATCTTGCCTCTTATTAGCAAGGATCCATCATTAAAGGTGAGTACAATTATTTCTCATATCACTACAAGATTCAATTATACTCCCTCTTACAGTAAGGAATGGATCGGGAGGACTAAGACAGTTGAACTTGTGTACGATAATTGGGAGGAATCGTACAAAGAACTTCTAAGATTTTTGGTGGCACTAAAATATTATGCTCCGAGAACTGTTATAATTTTGGAGACACTCCCGACATTTACCCCAGACAGAACTCGTGTTAGTGGAAATGGAATATTTCATCGATTGTTCTGGGCGTTTGAACCATGCATCAAGGGTTTTGCATTTTGCAAACCTATTATACAAATTGATGGAACTTGGTTATACGGGAAGTATAAAGGAACATTACTCATGGCAGTGGCACAAGATGGGAACAATAATATTTTTCCAATTTCCTTCGCTCTAGTTGAAGGTGAGACAGGTGGTGCATGGAATTTATTTCTGAAGAATCTCCGATTACACGTTGCTCCTCAACCAAACCTTTGATTTCAGACAGAAATCCATCGATTGTGAGTGCATACAATAACCCTAATAATGGTTGGCAGGATCCCCCTTCGACACATATCTATTGCGTTAGACATATCACACAAAACTTCATGCTCCATATCAAAGACAAGACACTTCGAAAGAAAGTTATTAATGCAGGGTATACCTTAACAGAATCGTCATTCCGACACTATTGCGAAGAAATTCGGTTGGCAAAATCAGAAGCATTAAGGTTGATCGATAATATTCCAGTAGAGAATTGGACTAGGGCATTTGACAATGTTCAACGATGGGGCCACATGACAACAAATTTGGTGGAATCATTGAACTATGTATTCAAAGGCATCTAAAACCTACCAATTACTGCTTTGGTTAGAGCAACATATTTCAGGACGGGGTCATTGTTTGACACAAGAAGTTCAAAATGGAGGGCAGTGTTACAATCAAGATAGTTGTTCAGTGAATGCACGATGAAAACATTTAACGAGGAGGCTGCGAAAGCAAACACCCATAGTGTCACCGTGTTTGACCGTATTAAAGGTTGGTTCAGTGTACAAGAGATAATTGATCATAATGAGGGGAGGCCAAGGGGATATTATCGGGTAGAACTAGATAGAGGTTGGTGTGATTACGGAAAGTTTCAAGCATTTCGCATGCCTTACTCTCATGTCATAGCGGCATGTTCGTTTGGATCCAATACAACATATATCCCCCGTGTACACGGTAAAAAGTGTTTTAAGTGTGTACATCAATACCTTATCCGTGTTGGCAAATAAGGATTATTTGCCTGCTTATCAAGGGGACATTGTTTGACACAATGAATAAATGCGACGGAAGAAAAAGGGGTGCCAAAAAAGCAATTGTATTAGAACTGAAATGGATACGGCCAACGAAATGATAAGATTATGCAGTACATGTCGTCTTCCTGGACACAATCGGAAAAATTGTCCGAATATTGGGTCTAGCTCTACAACATAACTTTTTTATAGAAAACTTTTCGGAGTGTTTAATTTGTTGTACGCAATATATTTCAATTTAAATTTGAGTTATCATTTCATGTTCAATTTATTATTCGATTACAACAACTTTCACATAATGACACAAAAAATTACAAAACCACATACTCGGGACAATAATACAACAACATGATAAACAGACCAAACAACTAAACAAATCATAATATCTAAGAGATAAAAACCATCAACACAATATCGTCTGGTCCAAGAATCATCATCATGACATCAGCGTCGCATCTCACCTTTTTTCATGATCAGCTTACTCCATTTTCGTTCCTCACTGTGATGTGTCTTTCTATTTTTCTGATTTGTTCACCTTCAGGAATGTCTCCTTCCAACCAGCGAATCAAGTGCCTCTGAAAATGCTCGAACGTCTGCGTGTTCCAGAGTTTGATCTTCATCGGAGGCTTTGTCGCCGAAAAAATAACATGCGCATCTCTTTTGATCAGTGAAAACCTTGGCAAGAGGGTTGAAGATATTTTCTAAGAGTTATGTAACAAATAGTGTGGAAAAATGAAGAGGATGGGTGGTTGCATTTATAGAAAATGCAATAACAATGTCAAGCCAATGAGGGTGGCGTTTCCTCTCTAAAAACACATGCATGCGCCACACTACATGACTTTACAGAGGAGGACAAGCCATACAGTGTGGCGTCTCCTCTTAAAAATCCATGCATGCGCCACACAGAGTGGATACTCCTCTATGTGGCGAAATTTTTTTGTTTGAAAAGTAGTCATTTTAGTAAATTTTTTAAAAGAGTAGTTATTTGAGAAAAAAATTTAAAAAATATAATTATTTAATTTTTTTTTATATTCTATCATGTGCACTAAATAGACACTTAAATACTAATATAATTTTTATAAATTATATGAAATGTCTACCAGCAGATTTCATTCTCTTAAAAAAAAATTATAAATATCTTAATTGAACATCACAAAACTTATTTCAGTTCATTATAAAAGTCTTTATCGAGTTTTAAAAGACTTTTTATAATAAATAAATATCAAAAATGAGTTTTTTTTCCTTCCCTAAATTTTAAATCAGATAACTTTTTAACTTGGTCATTCACATCCAGACATTTTAGTGCTCACCTTACCTTACCTTATCTCCTTCCTAATACAAAGTGTCACTAAAAGATTCTCACTCTTTCAATAAAAAATATATAAAAAATCTACATATTCTACATTTTTAGAGTGTCCCAATATAAGAAATATTTCAATTATTTATTTCATTTTAGGGGCATAACATGAATCTTATCCATCCACAATCCACACATCAACCCTCCCTACCATGTCTCTAACATCACTTCCAGCATTTCCATCTCTAAAAACCCATCATTCAATTCAACCAAGTTTAACTACTACTATACCTTCAAAGTTTGGTGCAAATTTAGTTTATAGTGGTAATGCTGCAGCAACAGAAGCAGTTACTTTAGCCAATACTGCTGTGGATGTGGAAGCTACTAGAAATGGAAAAGTTTGGCCTATTGTAGATAGTGAAAATGGAGTGGTTAGAGAAAAAAGTATAGGAATTGATGATATGAGGAGGAAGAGAAGGAGAAAAAGAAGAAAAAATTTGGGATGTGTGGTGGAAGAGAAGAATTTTCAGAACAATTTCTTAAGGCATAAAATGGTTGTTGGGTCTGTTACATCAGAGTTTTTGAGTTCAACAGAAGAGGCTGAGCTTTGTTTATGTCTCAAGGTATGTACATATGTATATGTTGTAAATAATCAAGTAATAGTTTAAAATTATTAGTGTTTATTGTGTATTGAAAATTGAATAACAATAGGAAGGAGCAAGAATTGAAGTTTCTAATCAAAGAATGACAGAACATGAAGGGAATTTGGCTTTTTCAAAGAGGTTTGCTCTTGAGAATGCAAGAGAATCAAAAGAAAGATTAGCGCGCGATTATCGTGGTTTAATTGCATCGATCGCGGGTTATTATCAAGGCAAAGGAATGAGTATTGAAGACCTTATTCAGGTGAATATTTAGACCTTTTGGTGTTTTTATCTTTGTGAAAGTTTCTGATTTTATGTATTTTGGTTCATTTTATCAGGAAGGAACCATTGGACTTTTTCGTGGAGCAGAGAAATTCGATCCGAGTAGAGGATGTAAACTGTCTACATATGTTTACTGGTGGATTAAACAAGCTATCAATAAAGCTTTGGCTAAGAAGTCTAGATTAATCAGATTACCGGTGAGACGCTTATTCGATAGTTTAATGGGAATGCAAGTCATATCTCGATTTAATACTATGTTGAACTCAATTGAAACTAATCTCTCATGCATATAGTTTTGGCCATGAGTCTTATCTTGAATCCGAATTCGTTAGGATAAATTCTGATTCACTATCATGAATGCTGATTCATTCTAATGAATCGCTACCTAAGCGTAGTGTAACTAACTACTTTTTCCGTCAACTTGTATAACCGATCACTATGACATTTTTCTATACGAGTTGAATCTTATTATGCAATTCTTCAATGATAGTTTACTAGAAGGTTTTGGAAGAAGGCTATTGATTATGAATGTTTGGTTAGTTTGTTATTTATAGGGAGAAAAGTATGGAATGGTTGCAAAAATTATGGAGGCTAACAATGTCTTAAGCAGAAGACTGAGACGGAAACCGACATACGATGAAATAGCCGAGGCTCTCAACATGAATGTTTCAACTGTCATACTTGTTTCTGAATGTAGCAGACACCCAGTTTCATTAGACAGAGCTATAACTGATCAGAGCAACTTAAAATTTAAGGTATGATAACTTCATTCTTAATACAAACTACTTTGACTTAAGCATGATTTTGTAGGATACTCTCTCTGGTCTCATACATAAACATACATCAGTTATTCAATGTATTTGATACATGAGATATCAGATACATCAATTATTCAATGTATATGAAAAATAATCTTTGTTAATATATGACATCTGAGGGAATATTTTTGTTCTTCTGTTTTTTTCATGCAAATTATGAGATATTAATGATGTTGCCGATGATATATAATGCAGGAGATTATACAAGGGCCAGATGAAATGATTCCGGAGAAAATGGTTGAGAGAAAGCTAGTGAAAGAAGGGGTGGTGAAGCTTCTTAGTACACTTAACAAGAGAGAAGAAGAGATTGTAAGATTATACTATGGACTAAATGGACAGACTGCTCTATCTTTTGAGGAGATAGGAAAGTTGTTGAAGTTATCAAGGGAGAGAATCAGACAGATTCATTGGATTGCATTGTCAAAATTGAAAGAAACTACTCTTGTAGATAGTCTAAAGTTTTATGTTTTATAGAAAAACATTTTGTTGATTTCATTATTTAAGAATGGGAAAGTAAACTAAAATCAAGGATATAATGAAGATGTGCTTAACATTTTGTATAGATAAACATTCCATAGATCGTCTAAACACAAACAAAAATCATTTCTCCCTCGAGTTTTTCTTTAATTCAACTCGAAGAATATCAAGATTATCGCTTTCCCAGACCTTTGAAGTAGCAGATGTTGTATTTCTAACAACAGATTCAAGGAGAGACTTGGTTACTCTCACAACATCAAAGTCCTCGTAGCTGATTAAGTTGAGCAAATCTTCAACATAAAATATTGCATCTTTTAAGTCTTCAAGCCGTTGTTTAACATGAAGATCCTTGAACTGCTTCTGTTCTGCATCAACCAGCACAACTTGAAGAGCTGATAGTATTGTTTAAGAAAATGAAGATCAAATAAGCTACAAAAACATATAATTCTAGTTTAGTTCACAAACAAACACATTTCATAGCAAAACATAATGTGTTATTTATTGAAGTTGAATAACCATGTCTCATAAAAGATAACTCTTTCTATCAAACTAAAAAGCATGGTAGAAAAGTCTCAAACAACATTAAGTCAAGTGATTCTTGGAATAAAATTTGCTGCAAAAAGTATACATTAAATCTCTGACAGAGGAAACATAAAATGTTAATCCATATATATATATATATATATATATATATATATATATATATATATATATATATATATATATATATATATATATATATATATATATATATATATATATATATATATATATATATATATATGATAATGTTTAGAGATGTGTTGAAATGGTCTCTGGAACTCTCCGAATTCGATATCCAATATGAAAGCAGGAAATCCCTTAAGGCTCAAGCCTTAGTCGACTTCGTAGCATAAATGACCTCGCCCGGGGATCCAGAAGGCTCGCGCCGCTGGACGATCTTCGTCGACGGCGCCTCCAGTACGACCGGAAGTGGTCAGGCATCATATTAGAGAACGAGGAAGGGACCCTGGTCGAAGTTTCTCTTGTCCTGTCTTTCCCGACCTCCAACAATCAAGCCGAATATGAGGCATTCCTCGCAGGATTACGGTTAGCTGAAGATCTGGGAGCCAAGGAAGTAAAAATCTTCACCGACTCTCAGCTGGTCGCCTCGCAAGTCTGAGGGGAATATCAGGTCAAAAACGACCAACTCTCTGAATATTGGGCCCTGGTCCAGGAGGCGAAGAAGAAATTCAGGTCCGTAGACGTTGAATACGTTCCTCGCGAGCACAACGCCCGCGCAGACGTTTTATCCAAACTGGTGAGCACAAAGAAGAAGGGAGGAAATAAATCTGTAATACAAGAAGTACTCCCTCGACCGAGCACCCAGAAACCATCTGCCACCTTAGGAATATTCGCCATAAGGGACAACGATTGCTGGATGACCCCCGTACACGATTACCTCACTGAAGGCAAACTCTCCGACGACCCGAAAGAGTCGATCATCATCAGACGGAGGGCCTGCTCGTACGTATTGATCGAGGGCAAACTCTACAGAAGAGGATTTTCCATCCCACTCCTCAAGTGTGTCGACTGAAGCGCATCGGAACACATATTGCTCGAAATCCACGAGGGCATCGGCAGTCAGCATCTGGGCGGAAGATCCCTCGCGAGGAAAGCCTTACGAGCGGGATATTACTGGCCCACCATGCAGCACGATGCAAGAGAACACGTGAAGAAATGCGATAAATGCCAAAGACATGGAGACATGCATTTAGATCCTCCTAGCGAGCTCAAATCCCTCTCCTCTCCCTGGCCCTTCGCCTGGTGGGGACTAGATCTCCTTGGCCCATTCGTGGTCAGAACCAATCAGAACAAATATCTGATAGTAGTGGTCGACTACTTCACCAAGTGGATAGAAGCCAAAGCCCTGACCAAAATCACCGCCCAGAACGTCCTTCGCTTATACAAAAGAAATATCCTGGCTCGTTTCGGTATCCCACGAGCGATAGTCACTGACAACGGGACCCAGTTCACGGACCACACCTTCCACGAATTCGTCACAAAACTTGGCACGACCCAACACTTCGCCTCCAACGAGCACCCCTAGACCAACGGCCAGGCCGAGGCTACCAACAGGGTGATACTCAGAGGCCTCAAGAGAAGGTTGGACGAAACCAAGAAGCGATGGGTCGAGGAGCTACACAGCGTGCTCTGGGCATATCGAACGACCACTCACTCGTCTACCGGGGAATCTCCGTTCTGGCTAGCATACGGGACATAGGCTGTTATCTCCGTAGAAATCGGGGAACCTTCCAGACGAACCGGGGCACCCCTCGACACGGAGATGGACGACGTCGCCCTCAGAGAAGAGCTCGACCTGATAGAAGAAATCAGAACTGGAGCGGCCCTGCGAGAGGCTTCGCTCAAACAAAGAATAGCCATGCGCTACGATGCCAAGGTGATACGTCGAGATTTCGAGGTCGGCAGCCTTATGCTGAAGAGAAATCGCAAATAACCTCGTTACTTATCGCGTCTACGCCAAAACGGGAACCAGAGCATATTACTTAGAAAATTTACAAGGGGAACAGCTCGTTCGATCATGGAACGCTGAAAAGCTAAAATAATACTACAGTTGAAAACACTGAGTTGTCGGCAGGTTCGGTCGATAAGACAGACCCGCCTGAACCCGACCACGCGTGCACGCCTAGGCACAAGCGTAACACCTAAAGTATGTAGAAGGGGCGATGTTCCGCTCTGTCGATGAGCGTACCCTTATCCTGATGTGGATAACTCGACCGAGCTCCACAGTCATTGTGCCACGACGGTAGAACGCCCGACGCGCGACGAGAAGTTCACGCTGTCGAACCCGGGTCCCTCGAAAATGAGACCTGGATTTCGGCTCTTGCCCGGCATTTGCCCTGGCGGTTTGATCGGTTTCCCCACACCGACGAACATGAAAAACGAGCATATCCCCAATATAAACTCAGCAAAATACAGAAGTCCTAATCAGGCTAACTTGTCAACAATCATGCAAATAACACATTAAATAAATAAAGCGATCACTTGGGCCAAAATTGTGCGAATATTACATAAACGGGCAATAGCCCAGGAAACAACAAATATTACAAAAAACGGCACGCATGCCGAAACAAATGAACGATCATCCCTCCGCTTCTCCTTCGACGATAGGCGACAGTCGAGCAAGATCCACATCAATCCACACACATCTTGAGCCAGCGTCACCCTCTTTTTCGGATGACTCGTTCCCTCGAGAAGGAGAGATTCGGCCCTGGGAAGATGAAGTGTCGCGCTCTCGAAAAAGGACCTCTCCAGCCAGCATGGAGGCAGATCATAAGCACTTTTTCCCGTCTCCCCAGTAAGATCAACGCTCCCCTCAGGTCGAGGCCTCTTCGCCTTCGAGGAACAGCAGATAGAGATAAAGTAGTTGTGGACGGGGCCGAGGACGACCCACCTGGTCCAGGAGCAGGAACTGGCCCCACGATAGTCTCGACATCCTTCTTGGCCTTTCTCTCCCGAGCGACAAATGTCTTGGCCAGACGTTCTTGAGCAGGATTCATATTTTCTGCAAAACAAAGAAAAAACAAGGGTCAGTAAAATGATGGGTCAAACAAACAACGACCATATACTGGAAAAAGAAAATTTATACCCAGGTATCTAACGGGATCCTCACTCCCAAGGAGCTTCTGGACGTTTATGAGACCCGGCTCGAACAGGGGCTCCCCATTTCTGTCCAGCACTGGCCTACCTCCTTGACCGACTCGCTGGACCGGAGGAATTCGAGCAACAAACAAGGTCAAAGTGGTGAAGCTCGACAGGTCCTCGTCCCCAAGCTCCCCCTCTCTCCAAACATAGGAGCCCAGCTCCTTCTCGAAATGTCTGATAGTCCATTGGAATGGAAACTTGGCGACTAGCGTCGCGGTAGGCTCCCCCAACTCGTTAATACGAGGAGTCCCATCCTCGTTGAGAGACGGCCGACTCCTAAAAACATTCAGCAACGCCTTCGTCGACGTGGGCTGCACCAAAATGTACTTGTCTTTGAAATGGCGCACGGACTCCAAGTAGGCCTTGAACAACTTCCCGTTTCCCTGTTTGAGGGAGACCCATCCCCATCGCCCGTCAGTCCAGCTCCTCTGAATATGAAAACAATAGAAGAACAACAGGATCGTGGCCCCGATCTTCAGATAGTGTCACACTATCTGGAATGCCCGTACAAACGCAATCTCGTTTGGGTGCAGGTGAGAGGGGGCCACATGCAGATGCCGAAAAACGACCACTTCAAAGTCAGAAAAAGGAAGACGGAGACCCATCTCCCGGAAAACTATGTCATACATAGGAATCCACCTTTTGTCTTATCTTGAGCAGATTTTGCTGTCTTTCCCGGGGATGTATAACAACCACTCCTCCCGAGCCCCCTCCTTGTGCACGTAAACGTCGGTGAACACGTCTTCCCCGTGCTTGTAAAAATGTGACCGCCACTCCCAGGGGTCCTTGGCTACCCAATCTCGGGGATCCTCGTCATTTTGGGGAGGAAATAGGCCTTCCCATGCCAGAGAGGTCGTCCCTATGTCGGGCTCCCCCGTCTGTTGATCCACCAAGTTTTGCTTCCCCTCAGAAATTTCCAAAATGCTCAACGAGCTGCTACTGGTCTCGCTCGAAGAGCTCCTGGAAGATTCTGTGGATTCGCTCGAAATAACACACATGCGCATCATCAGCCATAACACCTAAAAAGCAGAGGAAAAGGGTGAGCTCGACATCAATGCTAGAACCACCCTTCCACTACTAAACATGTGGAAGGCCGGTAGGAGACGATGATCTTATCCTAGACCAGAACCCTCACTAAGGCGCCCTACCAGGCAAAAAATGCAGAAATAATCCAGAACTCCGCTAAGGTATTCTAACGGGAACGGGTTGCAGAAAACAATTAAACCCTAAATGAATCGCCTATAGCACGCCGCCGGAGTGCTCCACGGAGGCCCGGGCAGCCATGCGCCGCGAGAACGACGTCTGCCACCTAGGGTCTCTAACGGTCTCCTCCCTAACGGAACCCCAAATCCTAACCACATGGATATCTAAGAAGCAAAAAACAAAAACATACAACAATGGAGAATCGGAAACTCACTGAAAGAAGAAGAAGAGATGAAGTTGGATAACCGCAGACGAAGAGATTGAGCAGATGTTGGTGGTCGACCGTCGAGCTAATGCGAGCAGTTGAAGAAGAAAGCAAAAAAATA